GGCGATGAACAATTTTCTAATTTATGGTAGCTGAGACTTCCTAACAGGAAATTTCAGTAAATTTTCCTGGCTGAGATTTTATACCCATCACTGTTTAATAGGAAAAACTTTCCGACCGCTGATAGAGATGAACGAGGCACGACTTTTCAGTTTGGATTCTTCATTCGTACTGGGAGGTTCAAATGCGAAAATTGGCCTTTCCGATCGCCAATATCACGATTTCTCAATAGAGAGCTAACCCTTCGTCTAATCATAAAAACATATTGTGATCTGGACAAAGGAAAAGCGTTGTTCGATGCAGCCCGGTTTATGTGGCTTATATGATGAGGAGACCTTTTCATAATTGTCAAGAAAAAATTGTTGGTTTTCTGTTCAGCTTTTTCCTCTCTCTATTTCTCTGTTTCCTAGTTTTGATCAATGTTGTGTATTTTACACAAAAACTTCCAAACTTTTCTCTCTTCAACAAAAAGCCATTTATGTTTAGGTTGTCATTCTGACATCTACGTAAAGTTGATTAATACACAGGGGGGTGGATCGGAGAATTATTGATTATAGGGGAGGAGGGGGGAGGGTCTTAAAGTAGATTTACTGCAACCCACTTCTTCACCAACTCCTTATGAGATAATCTAAGCGTTACTGTCTAATTAGTCCTTTGATATCAATCGGGAAAGCAAATAGATGAAATCATGCCTCTGATCAGGACCTCTTTGGATTGACGACAAAAAGCCTCATTAAACGTGATAGGACAATACCAGAGGACTGCCCTTTAACGATCAAAATTACTGTATTGGTTTTGTGCACATCTGCAACGCGCGTGGGCCTCGCGCGAAGGAACAAAGCCACACAACGACCCTTGCCAACCAACGTTGGTCGCTGGGAACCGGCACTAGGCTGTGAAACGTAATTCATCCAGTCCTTCCTAACCAAGACTTCAAAACGCTCACTGGGTCCAAAGTTGCAGATCTCAAACTGGATGATAGTAAGACTGTTCAACGGCAGGGTGAAGTCATTACTTGCGTATCGTCCCCTAAGAAACGCATTACTTGGTTGGATGAAACGACGAGACAGTCTTTCAAATGCAAACCCTTTCTGAGTAACACCAAGGAGTTTGAGTTTAAAGGCCGTGGCTGGTGGAGTAAAACTCACTTCATAATGAACGTTATCATTCGACGAAAGGTTCAAATTGCGAACAACAGAGCCAGATGCGGTGACAATCTGTAAACGAAGGGAGGCTGGGTCGACTTTATCATTAGGAGCCAGTAATGTAAGCACCATCGTGTTTGATTTTCCTGAGGATCGAAATGGATGTTGAGAATATCTATTATAAAAGGGAACTGCATATACAAGCTACAGATTTGATGATATTTACTCATTATTCCTCTATTTTTTTTTTCTTCCAGTTAAAATTATTTAGTTCTCTTTAACGTAGTGCTAATTCAATCCAACAAAAACAGGGCGGGAAATTTGTCAAGGCACACATAGCTTGGACAGACCTTGAAGTTTTTGGTAGCTATTATCTCCCAGAAAACAAAAACTATGAGATGAAATAAGAAGTGAGTTATTAGTGAATAAAAGAGTACCTGAAGCACATTGCTATTTATAATGGTGATAGGGCTGACTTGAGTCCAATTCGGTCTGTAACTTTACGAGTGATTAACAAAATCGAGCGACTGCGGGGCGGGAGTCCAATTTGTCAGTCACGAGTATGATTACAGACAGAATTGGACGAAGTCCTGTTACCAATTAATAATAACCGTTACAACTTCCGGAAATAAAAAAAAAACAAATACAGTTAGGACAAACATCACTGGTAGAGATAATGTCTAAAATACAAAATTCCTCCATTTTGGAAATTCCCCATTGTTTTTTCAGGATAAGTGGTTGTTGCTAGGGTTGTTGCTATGGTTGTTGTGATCAATTCTGTGAGTGATGTATTTAGCTCGGTGGACTTAGTATCATTGGCTGCTTCGACTGTCCGATTACAGGTGTCCGATTACAACCAACTGTCCTATTACAACTGAACAGAATGATTAATAAAAATGAAGCAGCTAATGCACCAATAACATTTCAGGAAATTGTAATGGTTATGATAAAGAAATTAATAATATTATCAATACGACACTGATGTAGGACTCCACTTCATCCTCCTTCTTGAACCCGTCCCTTCTGTCGAAGCCGTACAGGTATGATTTTATTAATATCACACCACGAAATGCTGTGCTAATCTTAGCAGGTTTCAGCACGAAAAAAGGACAACAATTTTAGTGCAAAGGCGAAATCTGAACATCTTATCTTAGTGTCGCCCATAATTACCCTGCGTGAAATAAATATTGATTCTAGTAAGAGATCAATTAAAACTTATCTCCTGGGGGGTGTTTTTCCCTTTTTAGGGGGGGGCCAATACATGGTCTTCAGGGGAATAGGGAGATCAGTTGTTTCTAGAGAGTATACATGGAAACGGTAGAAAATTGACTGCCAATGAGAGGGGAATATTACAGAGCCTTGAGGGGAGGATCAGATGGAATTATAATGCGCAAAAAGTGCATGACCCTCCCACTCCCCATCCCCGGCGAGAAATAATGGCTTGCCCCTTACTCTCAAACTAGTGAGTTTATTTAAGTAAGCATCAAATTTAGTGAATTATAATTATTATACTAACGTGCGATAGGGTTCGAAAAAGGCACCTCGCTTTTCCTTCGACGACGTCCCACTGGAATCATAAAATAGTGTTTGAAGTTGATGTTTGTCTTGCTGGTTGATTTGACGTAAAACTCGTGATCCCCAGTCGTGTCTGTTGTAATCTCCAAAGTCCAATAACCTTTTGGGGGGCTCGCAATTTGGTAGAAACAAAGCTGAGAAAGGTTGACCTTCTGTGCTGTAATGATGGCCCCAGAGGGGTTTCTCAAAGTAATATCCCGGCCTGGAGTGTAATTAATTGAGATGAAAACATATTAAAAAATGAAAGTTATAACGAATACACAAATAAGAAGATTTGAAAGAGAGAAATTCGTAGTAGTTTGAAATTTTGCCTCTCCTCACGATCCTGAATTGATGCGTATTTTTCAGGTCCTCTAAGGAGAGTTTCCACTGGTTACTCCCGACTCTCTTTTGATGCAGGGGACAGAGTTCTATTAATAAAGCTCACTTAGGAAAAGAGTGATAAACTTGGAATGAAAGTCGTCGCGAACAGGCGCAATTTTTTTCTGTTTTGCTTTGTTTTTGCCTTTATTTTCTTCTGTTATGTTTCGTTATCATCGTTACTTTCCGTGATACAGTTTTCATTAAACAACTTTTGAAATTTTTAGGAAGTCATTAACAAGCTGGGACAAAGACTTCATCAGCTAAATATCATCAGAACTGTAGATGACTGGTATGAAAGGAAGGAAGGAACAGCCTCGATCACTAACCGTTTGTGTCAGGCTGATTCGTTTTAACTGATATTGTTACAGTCTCGATGGAATCATCCACGGGGAACCTATAACGACGCAGCCCGCCGAAAGTTCTTTTTTTTCTACCGGACACGCTGGATCCGAAGCTGATGATGGTAGTACCTTCCAAGGCTCCTCTTATAACGTTTGCAAGTTTCTCCAGTTCTTCTGCGCTTTTCAACAGCACGACTTGTCCCGAAGTGAACTCGGCAAGTTCACGAAAAGCTGGGTGAAGCTTACCCCCACAGGCGCCTAGTGAAAGAATCACCATCATAGGCTTTTTTCATTGACGATGACATATTACGTCATTCACTGATTTACAAACTGAGGTTTTATGGGAAGACAAAGATATTTTGTTTTTATACCACATGAACTGGTGCTCAGTGCTAATTAAAAGTTTTGTGTCAAATCACATTGAAGTATGTAAACTGACATGGTATGGAAAATTATTTCACCGTGAAGGGAGAAATATGCTGACCTTATTAGGAATTGTGATCCAATTTCAGACGATTTCACACGATTTCCTGACTCAGAAAATACCTAATCCTCTCCCCCTCTCTCTCCATTCATCTCCACGCAGGGCGTAACTCGGGTGTTAAATGGGGAGAAGGAGGGTCGTCGTTACTTATTTCTGCGCTTCCTACTTGGCGCGGCTTTTACCGCTGTTACACTTTATGGATGTACGGGCTTGCATTTGCACGCCGACCAACTAATGCAATATTTAGCATTGGAAAAGACTTATGACACGCACATTCTTCTCCTTCACGCATTTCACCTCTCGAATTATAAGGTTTACACGCCGTTGCCTCTTTTTTTCACAATAAATCTGCTACCAATAGGAGGTTCAGACAGCCCCCCCCCCATCCCCTACCCACGCCCCTGCTACGTTGCACTCCCCATAGTTAATAAAGAGAGAACAACTTGTCCGAATACCTGTAGTCAGAAAATGTATTGTGACATCATCCATTTCTGCCAGAATCTTCACTTCTTCTATTTTCTCCTCCGTAGCGTCTTTGGGGCCAGCGTCAGTAAAAACGTACATAGGAGAGCCGAACAGAGGGTCCTGCCCGAAAGCATTTACAATACCCGCTAAAGTATATTCCGCGCAGTCTCCCCCTCTATGTGCAGTCAAGGCATTTATTGCATCAACAAACTCTAAAGATTGGTTGCTTTCTTTATATACCACCTCTCCGGCGTCTATGAGCGCATGAAAAATGATAAAATAAAATAAAATAAAAATAAATGAATAAAACCAGGAGCCCATTACTAAAGAGTAATGGGCCCCTGATAAAATAAACAATAAAACAAAACAAAAAAAACAATGATGATGGCGAACTTACTAAACACAATTATAGGAAAAGTATGAATAAACACAAGTATTAAGAATGTTGATGCCGAAGACTAGTGACGCAATAGCGAAGCTGTTCGTTTAAAAGCAACAGCGTTCGAGGAGCATTCCGTCCACCCCGTGTGGCAATAATTTCATTTAAGAAAATATCCTGAGAGTGCAGAGTGCAAGCAAGGTAATTTTGTGCTGCAATGTGGTTTTTCAATGCGAGGCTCAAGTACCCGTAAGGCCCAGCAAGAATATGCTACCTAATGGTTCATTCTTCGTTTTAATATCTACAAAAGAATCTTCAAAGTTGTTCCGAAAAAAAATTACCTCCTTGTTATGTTGCCTTGTATTGTTGTCTGGATAAGATCTTAAAACTGCATACCTGACATAGGGTCATTGAAAGGTGATAGGATATAATCCACTGGCACCTCACGCGGATAATTGATGACAGCTGTGGCTATCTTTTTTACGGCTTCTATTGTATCACCCATACTTCCGGTATCGTCAATAACAAACACCAAAGACACATTTCCTTCGACTGCCATAAAGCTATCAAATGTCTCGTTTCCTAGACCCTGACGAAGTCTCCGAAGAAAGAGATTTCCTTCATTCTCGAGAGATCTTTTTTTTCGCTTAGAAGACTTGCTGAGTAAATATAATATTCGTCCGAGTACCTCTCTACCATAATCGAAGCTTTTGCTCTTGACTGCATCTTCCAAAAGCTGTGATAACTTAGCAAGAGTGAGGTTGCTATATTGCAACTGACTTCCCATCGCACCAGCGTTCGCTACAGCCTTCTGGATCTCGCTGATGACTTCGAGGAACTTGTTAGATGGCGTGTAAATTGTGCGTTGTTGAGGCCTTTTGGTAGGGGAGTCGCTTTCCAAAGAACGAACGAGACTGAAAACAGGTACAGGTAGCTCAGTTTCGGGATTTGGAGCAACTCGAGAAAACCCAAAGAGTGCTTTTCGGGTAAATCGTAGAGAACCAAAAAGGTCCCCAGAACAACCATACGCTGATAAAAGCAAGCAGACCATGCCAACTTTGAAAGAGAACAACGATGTTTTCATCGTATTTGCCATTTCTCTCGTGTAAGCCGAACGAAAATCTGTCTAAGCTTGGCCGTTCGTGTTGCACGGTTGGCCAGCCTCCAAATGTTTTATTGTTTTAGTAAATGGAAAGACGATACTCAACCTCTTGTTTATGGCCGTAATATGTAAGATGGTACGATCTAAACGAAATTTTTTATTTACATTGGTTTTGAAAAATTTTTATTTGTTTAACAATCAAGAACTTCTTCAGTCGATGATAATTTCCTTCACTTTAGTGACCTTAATTAATGTGCGATTCAGTGGTGATATCATGAAGGGTTATGCACAATTTGTAACGTGAGTAGATGCGTATTTAAACAAGAACCGTTATCATCTACCTAAAAGCACTGTGGAGTATTAGTAATGGGGAAAATACAAAGAGAAGCCATTTTGTAAATTGTCAGAGGTGTTGTGGCAGCATTTCAATATCTATAAGTGTCGACAGGACACATGTGGTGATTCATGTAGTTAATTTGTTTTTCCGTTTGGGATAAATTGTTTATTAAAGCATTATTTTCTCTCTTGCTCTCTCTTTCTTTATTTTATTTTACTTTTCTTTTATTTTTTATTTGCTGACGATAAACAGATCGAGGATCAGAAGCAAAACATCGCGGCAATGATTATGAGACTGATACTTCGGGCAGCCGACAGAAAAAATCGTGTTGGATTTGTAATTTGCAGATTAACTGGAAAGATTAAAAAGCGCTAGCATTGAAGAGAGACAAATGACAGTAAGCGATTACAAAACATGATGCTTTGGTGACAGTATGTAATCATCGTCGAATGCAAATAACATGGAAACCGTTATGGAAAGCAAATATAAACAAGCAAGTGTGAAGTAACTTCAGAATTGATAACGGTCGTGGGTGCTAAAGAAGACTCGTAAGTAAATGACGAACCTCTTTGCGATAAGTCTTTTTTAGTATTCCGAACCGCCTTCTTTATGGCTGTGAATACATGAAAATGTGAACTGCAGTTGACGAAACGAATATAAATCCTCGTAGTTATGAATACTACTTAACTAGTAGTGAAAATAAGGCCTGAAAAAGTCAGGGCTGTATGGTATTTGAAAACACGACCTCTGCAATACCGGTGCAGTGCTTCACCAACTGAGCTAACAAGCCAACATGGAGCTGATCATTATGTTGGTGCAAAATAAACGCGTGAAGTGATAAATAAATGTCCGTGAATGTATGAGAAGCATATATGCGAACTGCGGATAAAGACATGAACGTGAAGGCGATCTTGAGATCGCCTTCATATTCATGCCTTCTTTATCTCAGATATGTAGATTGTCTCCTATACAGGAACTGAAACTTCGCACGGGTTTCTTAAGTTTTCGTCAAGTACATTTTCTAGCTTCCGGTTGCACAATAATTTAGTTTTATGAAGTGAGTTAATAATGTAAGTATATCACCATGAAGGGTTTTTATTGATGACGGTTAGAGCGACAACCTTGAAATCACTCCTCGTTTGCTTACTGATGCACTAGCAACTCTGATGAATTGTCAGTTGTTTCATAATTGATAAGGCGTTACTTGCGACTTTTTCACCTTGCTCTATTTAACAGAAAAAGAGACGCACACCGTAAAACGTTTATTTACTTTTTGTCTCACCTTCCCTTTGTTAAATTTCTCGAAAATCAATGACACAATACATGTGGTATTTTACCATCTCGCGAAGAAAGTTGACAAGTATAAGCTTTGTTCATGAAAGGAATCTATATCTGCACACGAACCAAGTGATACGAAGTGTTTATCGGTTGTTTCGTACCCACAGTCGTTTTATACCCGGTTAGGTCGATTTTTACCCGGTCAGTTGAGTTGTTTCGTATACGTACCCGTACTAAAGTATCTTTCTTCATGTATGTTTTAACTTCATATAAAATGAAATAAACAAGACGCATATTTGCTTTCACTCGGGCTCACTTTTAGAAAAAAACTTTGTTTTTGTGCCTGTATCAATGAGGGTCTACCGCGAACGCTGAGTGCATATTTTGTATGCGTTTTGAGTGTATACCTAAAGTAGGGTAGGTTTCATATTTGAGGTACAAAACAAACGCTAACTGTTATTGTTAGAAAAATCACAAGTTTAACAATAGCCTGTTCTAATGAAAATATCACACTTACCTTGCGCAAGGCAACAATTCAGTCGCTTAACTCTACTGAATTGTCGAACGCAATAATCTATGTCTGTTCACGCACTTGCAACTGAGGTAATTCGAATAAATGTATCTTGAGTCGTGTAAACTGGGTACGGAACGACTCAGTGGTTGCGAAACAGGATAATATAGGCGAGTGTTACTAATTAAACTAAACGACGCAAAATCTTATCAGCTTTTAAAAAATTTACAACGCCTATGAGTTTTTCAATTAATTAATTGCAGAGATGAGCTAAGTTTGCGCAGTAATATGCTCATATTGATAAAGTTCGTTATTTGATTGACTTATTAGAAACGCATCATCCTGGGAATAATTCAATGAAAGAACTGAAATCATGTCTTTGATGAAAATGCTTATAAAGAGACTTAGATGTTTAATCTTTTTGCGAACAGATAACAGTTTAAGTAAGAGCCAAGTCAAATTATCAACTCAGTTGATAAAACCAAATAATCATACTCATAGCAGGCTGCAAGAAATCAGTGAAATATCTTTGATGGGGGTAAAGACGATTTTTTTTCCAAGCAGGAGTTTGTTTTTTTTTGTTTCGAAGCAGAAATTTCAGACTTCTTAAAGCAGAGTTTTTTTTTTCAAAGAACACAAACATGCGCAAAAAGAATATGTTTCCGCAGAGTAAAACCTTCACAAGGTTTTTTTTTTAATTTCATGATATCGCGCACCAGGAGAGTAACACCTAACCTCGGATCAGTAAATCAACGTTCTACGGAAAAGTTTATCGCTGCATTATTGATCTTCTAAAAAGAGTGGGCGGGTGACACATTTTGCTATCCTTTGTATTCGAGGACACTTACAAGGTGAGATATTTCTTTTTATGGTACAGCTAATTAACTTGTAAACAATCAACTCAAGTTCTTTTCAATTCCTTTTTGATTTGTAAACAATAAACACCGCGCCTCCTTGTACGCTATAAAGTTAGGTCACTAATTTAAGACTAGGAGTTTGAAAGAGTCACAACTTGAGTTGTTGAACAGACTTTACAGTCATGTCTTCTTGTTTAAGAAATGCTCTCACCGAAGTTCCCACGGTAGAGTCCATGAAACGGCAACTGGACTTCGATGAGCGGAGTAGCCTCGAAATGGAATCCGAATTCCTCCGAGCACCTACAAAGGGTACGAAAAGGAGTCGTCGCTTAGACTTCGGAAAAACCGACCCATCGGTGCTGTTACGTTTTCCTGGTAAGTAAATGGTTACGAAAAAATTGGGCATTCATAGAAGGAAGTGCACAGCTATAAATACAGATAGTAGTTTAGCATGTCCCAGGTACTCTGACTCCCCAACGGTCGCTAAGAGGTTGATTTCATGTGACATGGAGAAAGAGAGTGAAAATAATGGATTTCTTTAAGAAAAGGCTTGATTATGTATTTATAACAGATAGAAGACGCGTGCTTATGCAACAGGCTATCATTTCTTTCTTTGGTTGTCAATCTGTCACAATTGTCGTTATCTTTTCTTCTTGTCAATAACATCGTTGCAAAGAAAAGCCGTGCGGGTGGTCGTTCCATTAATTTTCCCTTCGGTGAAGATTTTGAAATGGGGAGCGCTTATATGTAGAACAGAACCTTTTTTGGGACCGAGAATTCTAAATAACACTTCGGGGAACAAAGTCGTTGAAAAAGAGTTAGAAAGCATTATTTCGTTTGTTATTATTTAATACGAAAGCAATATTCAGTTCTGATATGATAACGCACTCATTCTTGTTACAGATTTTGAGGACCAGATAGCATTTCACTCAGAGGCTTTGCGTTCGAACTCCTGTAGAAGCATCTTCTCGGCTATGCAAAAGGATAAACTTGAAGCTATGTTCCTGAAGAATAAGTATCCCACTCGCGCAGAGAAAGCGACTTTGGCTGCGACTTTAGACATTACCATAAACAAAGTACAGGTAAGGATATTCAACTTCTTGATTTTCAACCAAGCTTACTAAGAAAAGTGACGAATATAAAGTTACGGTCTCTATAAAAATAATGGCCAACGGCTTGACTCTTTCGTTAGTTTATTCAATTTTTACTGGGAACGCCAAGTCTTCGATCTATGTTCTTACATTGTGTGGTGGCAGAGTACGGAATTTTTGCAGCGGCCCTTTTTGGGTCTTATGACATATTGGCTTGTCCCAGGTTCTCGCGGTTATCGGGTAAACGAGGGGGCGATCGAAGAAACGGGAGCGCGAAAAATGGTGGGGTCAGCCGTTTCCCTGACGACCACGACTACCGTTTGTTGTTCACCCGCTCACCGCTTGCTCTCATTGACGAGAGGGTCTGGAACTGGTAGATGATAGATTTCTTTAAATTGTATAAAGTAAAGTCAAAGCTCAAAAGTCTGTGTTCGTAACTGTATTCCGCTTTTTGTTGACTTTGAATATTTCAACTCACTCCTTACTATTGCGAATACTCCGTGGTATTGCGAATAATGAAAACTAAAAACTAAAAAAGCATGAGTACAGTTTTTTAGAAACTAATATCTTATTTCTTGAAATGGTTAAATTGCTCTATCTTTTTCATTTTCTAACAGACCTGGTTTAGTAACCGTCGCCAAAAGTGGAGAAGACAACAGAAGAAAAAAATTGCGGGTCCCTTTGGTCAGCCCTCAGTTCTTCCTCGATTGTCTCTTATTAAGCGAACCTCTCAGAGCACTGCCAGCCTCCAATGTTACTCACAGTGCCCTATACAACAACCAGAGCAATCTCAGCCTCCATCTTCCGCTCTGCACCAGGCTACAGTTCCGTTCGCTCCATCGCTACAGACTGCCCAGTCCTTTGTTTCTTGTAACCAGATGTATCCGCAGGAATACCAACCACAGCCGAAGTCTTCGCAACGACCCTTCTCCCCGCAGTACTATGCCGTGCCTAATCTACCTG